ATAGTACATTGAGAAAATTCATTGTCTTCCATAAGTTCTTTTATAATGATGGATTCAGGTATTATCCGTTATAAAAAAAGAGACTCAATTCCTTTATGAATACAAACAGCCTTTAATTCTCAAAAGAAGTTAAAAAACTTTTCTGTTAACTGTATTTTCTTGAACTTTATAGAAGATCATTCCATATTTGTTCATTACTGCCCAATAAAAATATTTGTAGTTCTGGAAGTAGAAAGGTTGAGGTATGCAGATTGTCTTTTTTTAAAAAACTGCCTCTTTTTGAGCGTGTCACTACCGAAAATTCTACCTTATGAGAAGACAAAGTTTTTATTTTCATTCTCTGCTTCTATAGTACGATATTAACATTCGTAAAAAGCCCTTGTATAAAAAATGCTTTGACTATTTCTATGCTTAGGTACTAATGTAATTCGTTATAAGATATAGTGGAATTGACGAAGACATCAATCAATAGTAATGATTGATACTTCGATGTAGTAAGTATTGATGATTTTTATTCTTAAATCTTTTAACCTAAGAATAAGTTTATAGTCAAACAAGAAAGAATTACTTCATTTATATCTAAACTAAGTTTAGAACGCCTGTCACCACCACAAGATTGTAGTAATACCTTACCAGAAATATTATAGTGTTTAACAATGATATTTACAGTATGATAAGGTATCAATAATATATTTGTTTTGGCACGAAACAAGTGATTTTCTGGTAACTTTGTAACTATTCTTTGACTATCATCATTAAATACAACTTCAAGTTACATTCACAAACCCAACTACTGCTCACTTATCAGAGCTGCCATTCTCCTACTTCATAAATTTACTAACTAATTCCGCTTCACTAACTTTACAAACTGCTTATGCTTAACTAGCTTTACATACTGATTCTGCTTCACTAGCTTTTCATACTGTTCAATTGTTATTCAATTGGTTGCAATAATTATTATATTGATTGCAAAAAAACACACGAGAATTCTTTTTTATTCATTTGGTTGCAACAGTTATTCAATTGGTTGCAATGATTATTATATTGATCTAAAAATCCTATATTACCAATCCAAAATTTCCAACATCTATAAATATTTTTTCTTTAACTAAAACATCTAGTCACATAATTATTTGCTCACTTATATTACATACTGCTATTAATTTACATTTAACTCTCTGACTATATTTACCTAATTTTATATCCACATCAACATATCCTTTACTTTAATTCCATTCTCGTTTACTGCTACTAATTTACTTTTTATATCAGTTTCCTCTACATCCAATTCACATTCTAAAGCTACATCATATTTTATTAACGATACTCTTAATCCTGTATCAAACATCCCCTTAAATATATTATTTCGAATATAAATCTTTACTTTCATCACTTTCATCTTTACTTATGGCATTTATATGATTTTTATATTCCAAATTATCGTTCATTATACAATCCGCAATTAGTGAATCATGTTCTTCTACTCTGCCTGTTTAAACCTTTTATTATAATTTCCATTTTTATTTTCACCTACTCCTTTGTTTTTAATATTTTCGTTATCCTTATATATTTTGTTATTAAATACCTTTTTCTCCTTCAATTGTGTTATATATAGTAGACTTTCAAATTCTAACCTATCAATAACTTCCACAGCTCTGCACATATTGTTTATATCTTTAAACATAAATTTATCTTTTTAAACA